GTTTTGCCTCTTGATTTCTCGCCACACCCAGCAAGCAGGATGATCTGGCTACACAGTGACCATACAGTGACAACAGAGTTCTCTCCTGTGGTGAAAAGCACCAGCCTGGGAATCAGGCAGGCCTGGGTTCATATCTTTACACTGCCATTTATTAGCTGTGTGACTTTTGGCTAATGACATAACCTGTCTCTAAGAAGCTTGAAGTATTAAATGCAATTCTGTGTATAAATGGTACAGCATAGTGGCTAACACATAGTTATTCAATAAATATTTATTATTATTACCTCTAAGAATAGTTCTATTAATCAAGAACACAAGGAGCTAGAAATAATGACTGGGAAAAAAATCCCTCCACCTCAGACTCTGATCCTGATGGGTCTTATTTGCAGCCTGTGGGCTTGGTTAGCTCAGAAAGGAGAGAAGGAGAGTAACATAAGCAGCTCCTGTGGGTATTAATTATCATTGTTCCTTCCCACCTCTCTTTGTCTCCTCATTAAAACCCTTGTTGGCAGAGCCAGTGCTGTTTTAAGGTAGCTCTTTCTATATTATGAAGAAGATGGCAGTGGGAGGAGGACGGAGGAGGATGGGCAATAAGGACCAAGTTATTTATTTATTTTCATTGCAATGAAAAGCACATAGTGTAAAATGTATCATCGTAGTCTTTTTTAAGTGTGCAGTACACACTTAAAAAAGTGTTAACTTCATGCACATAGTTGTGCAAATGATCTCCAGAACTCTTTCATCTTGTAAATGGAAACTCTGTACCCATTGAACAACAACTCTCCTTTCTTCACTCCCCAGAGCCCCTGGCAGCTACCATTCTATTTTCTGTTTCGAAGAGTTAGACTCCTTTAGATAACTCATATAAGTGTAATCATGCAACGTTTGTCTTTTTGCACCTGGCTTATTTCACTTCGCATAATATTCTCATAATTCATCCATATGATAGGATTTCCTTAGTTTGGTGGTTCCATTTTTAATTTTTTGAGGAACTTCTATTCTGTTTTCCATACGGGCTGCACCATTTTACATTCTTACTAACAGTGCACAGCAGTGCACAAGAGCTCCACTTTCGCCACATCCTTGTCAACACTAGTTACTATTTTTTTTATAATGGCCATCCTGTTGGGTGTGAGGTGATATCTCATTTTGCTTTTGATTTGTATTTCCCTGATGATTAGTGATGTTGAGCATCTTTTCATATGCTCGTTGTCGGTATATCTTCTTTGGAGAAATGTCTATTCAAGTCCTTTGTCCATTTTTAATTGGATTATTTATTTTTGTTGTTGTGGTCTATATTCTTTATATATTCTGGATATTACCTCTCATCAGATATGCAAATATTTTCTCCCATTCCATAGGTTGCTTTCACTTTGTTGATTGTTTCCTTTGCTGCACAGAAGTTTTATGTTTGATGTAGTCCCATTTGTCTATTTTTGCTTTTGTTGCCTTTGCTTTTGGTGTCATATCCAAGAAATTATTACCAAATCTAATGTGATGGAACTTCCCCCTATCTTTTCTTCTAGGACTTTTATGGTTTCAGGTCTTACATTTAGGTCTTTAATCCATTTTGAGTTAATTTTTGTATGTGGTGTAAGTTAAGGGTCCAACACCTTCTTTGTATGTGGATATCCAGTTTTACCAGCACCGTTTGTCAAAGAAACTATCCTTTCCTCATTGTGTAGCCTTGGCACTCTTGTCAAAGACCATATGGCCATATATATGAGGACTTACTTCTGGGCTCTCTGTTATGTTCCATTGGTCTATATGTCTGTCTTTATGCCAGTATCATACTGTTTTGGTTACTGTAGCTTTGTAATATGTTTCAAAATCAGGAAATGTGAGGCCTCCAGCTTTGTTTTTCTGTCTCAAGATTTTTTGGGGTATTTGGAGTCCTTTGAGATTCCATATGAATTTTAGGATGGTTTTCTATTTCTGCAAAAAAAAAAAAATGCCATTGGGATTTTGATAGGGATTGCATTGAGTCTGTAGACTGCTTGGATAGTATAAATATTTTAACAATATTAAGTCTTCCAATCCATGAACATGGGATGTCTTTTCATTTATTTGTGTTTTTCTTTAATTTCTTCAAGGACTATTTTGTAGCTTTCAGAGTATGAGTCATTTTCCTTTTTGGTTAAGTTTATTTCTAAGTATTTTATTATTTTTGATGATATTATAAATAGGATTGTTTTTTAAAATTTCCTTTTCAGATTATTCATCGTTAGTGTATAGAAACACAACTGAATTTTGTGTGTTGATTTTATACCCTGTAACTTTGCTGAATTCACCTATTAGTTATAACAGTTTTTCTGTGGAATCTTTAAGGTTTTCTATAAAGAGGATTATGTTATGTGTGAACACAGATATTTCATTTCTTCTTTTCCAATTTTCACACCTTTTCTTTATTTTTCTTGCCTAATTGCTCTGGCTAGAACTTCCAGTACTATATTGAATAGAAGTGGCAGGAGTAGGCATCCTTGCCTTGATCCTGATCTTAGAGGAAAAGCTTTCATTTTGAGCATGATGAGCATGCTGTTGAGCATGATGTTGGCTTTTCCTATATGGTCTTTATTATATTCAAGTAGTTTTCTTCTATCTCTAGTTTGTTGAGTGTTTTTAATCAATGAAAGAGTGTTGAATTTTCTCAAATGCTTTTCTGCATCAATTGAGATGATCATGTAGTTTCTGTCCTTCATTCTGTTAATATGGTGTATTACACTGATTGATTTTCGTATGTTGAACCATCCTTGCATCACAGGAATAAATCTCACTTTGTAATGGTGTATAATTCTTTTTTTTTTTTTGTGGTACGTGGGCCTCTCACTGTTGTGGCCTCTCCCATTGCGGAGCACAGGCTCCGGATGCGCAGGCTCAGTGGCCCAGCCGCTCCGCATGTGGGATCCTCCCGGACTGGGGCACGAACCCATGTCCCCTGCATCGGCAGGCGGAGTCTCAACCACTGCGCCACCAGGGAAGGCCCGGTTTGCTAGTATTTTGTTAAGGACTTTTGCGTTAATATTCATCAAGGGTATTGGCCTGTAGTTTTCTTGTGGTATCTTTATCTGGTTTTGGTATCAGGGTGATGCTGGCCTCATCAAATGAGTTTGGAAATGTTCCTTCTTCAGTTTTTTAGAAGAGTTTGAGGATTGGTGTTAATTCTTCTTTAAATGTTTGGTAGAATTCTCCAGTGAAGCAATCTGGCTTTTTTATGTTCAGAAGTTTTTGTCTACTGATTCAGTCTCCTTACTAGTTATAGGTTTGTTCAGATTTTTTTCTTTCGTCATGATTCAGTCTTGGTAAGTTGTAGGTTCTGAGGAGTTTATCCATTTCTTATACATTATGTTATTTATTGGTGTGTAATTATTCATAGCAGTCTCTAATGATCAGTTTTATTTCTTTGACATCAGTTGTGTAATGTCTCCTCTTTCATTCCTAATTTTTGTTGAGTCCTCTCATTTTTCCTTTGTCTAGCTAAAGATTTGTCAGTTTCATTGGTCTTTTCAAAACACAAACTCTTAGCTTCATTGATTTTTTTTTCTGTTTTTCTAGTCTCTATTTTGTTTATTTCTGCTCTACTCTCTATCTGCTAACTTTGGGTTTAGTTTGCTTTTCTTTTTCTAGTTCCTTGAGGTGTGAAGTTAGGTTGCTGATCTGAGATTTTCCTTCTTTTTTAATGTAATAAACTTCCCCCTTCGTACCGCTTTTATTGCAGCACATAACTTTTGGTGTGTCGTGGTTTTGTTCTCAATAAGGACCAAATTATTAAAATAGTCTGGGCCCAGGATGTACTTCTCCAGTAGAACTAAATAATTAAGCTATACTCAATTATTTTTATTTTCCTAGTAAAAATATGCTCTCATTATATATCTATCATCTATTGATCGTCTGTCTAAATACAGCCAACCCTGGAATATAACGTGGATTTGAACTTTGCTGGATCCACCTGCATGTAGATTTTTTTCAATAAATATGTACTACAGTACCATACAGTCAACAGTTGGTTTAATTTGGGGGTGCAGAACCATGGATACTGAGGGACAATTGTAAAGTTATACAGGGATTTTCGACTCTGCAGTGGTCAGTGCCCCTAACCTCCGTGTTGTTTGAGTTAACTGTATCTATCTGTCTGTCTTTCTACCTCTGAAATGGACTGCTACGATTACCTAATACAACATTCTTATTTTCTAGAGGGAGAATCCAGGCCCAGAGAGATAAGTGTCTTGCATGAGATCCCCATAGCCAGTTACTTCTGAAGGTCTAAAAGCTCCTGACTCACTGGGGGAGCTTATGCACCCTATAGACTGAAAACAGTGTTAGAATGCAGGCATTCAGGAAACCTTTCTTGAGAAATGATAGGTTAAGGAGGTTACTGTTTTAATTTGTATTCTTGTCCAATAGTAAAGATTTGGGAGTCTCTTACCGATCATCTGATGTACTCTTCATTACACAGTGGTGTTTCTCTCCTCTGTGTCTGCTCCTTTTGTAACTTCTGGCTTTAGCAAGCCAGTGGAGCTGGAGGGTAGGGTGTCTTTTATTTAGAACATACTAACAGAGAAGGTGGTGGATTTGGACAGTTTCTGCAGCAAGGCTTTAGCTGGTCTGGGCTGTGATTTCCCTGCATGAGAGAGGCATGAGTTTGGCTGACTAACTTAAGAAGCTCTGAGGAAGTATACTCAGTCAGTGAGAAACTTTCCTAAGACATCAGCTTTTCCCTATTTCTTGTGCTTTTCTCAGAGAGTTGTAGGGAGGATGGGATGCAGTGGAACGATTCTTCTTTTTAGGGCAATCGAAAAGAGCAAGGGAAGGAGCAATTTAAATGTTTGTAATATTTTAAGTAAGTGACATTATTATTGTAACTTGTTGTCATAATTATTATCATTATGGGGGGCAGATGTGCCACACTTCTTTCTTGGTACTTTACATACATGATCTCATTTCTTTATCACAAGAGTTCTTCAAGGTAGGTATTATTATCTTAATTATTGTTATCTTTACAGATGAGAAAACGGCTCAGATGGTTTAAACAGTTTACTCAAGGTCACTCAGCTAGTGTACGTCAAAGGTAGGTCAACTCTGTTTATAGTCCTTGCTAGAGAGTAAAATATGTAGATAAAACTTAACTTGCCCATAAAGTGATAATAGTCTTTATATATGTGGACTTCTAAAGGCCTCCCCCAAAGACATTTTGTATTCTGGACTTTTCTTTTTCAAGGACTCCACTTGTCCACAGAGCCATGAGAGCACCGTGTGAGTATGGTAAAACACTGAAATGGATTTTCTAGTGTGACTTACGGAAGTCATTGCCATGTAGTTGTGCATTACACTCATTTTGGAGATGTATTTTAAAATTTACAAACACCGCTATGGCCTTCATGATAACTTTCTTAAATTGTCTGTATTTTCTTGACTTTGGATTCTTTGTGTGCCCTCCCTGGCCAGTGGTGATGCTGTAGACCTTTCGAAGGACCTACCCGATCGCTTTGCTCTTTTCATTGGACACCCTCTCCCCTTCTGGATTCCATTCCAAGTATCTGCCTTGATCTTTAATTACAAGGCTCTATGGATTGTCGTAGCCAAGCTCGTCCTGCACCTTAGCTTCATCAGCTGTGCACTCCTGTCGCAATCTTCCCACTGTTACTCATTTGCCTTGGCGCCATACTGCTGTTCTCAGCTCTGAGTTGAGTGGCAGTTAAAGGAGACTCCACCTTGGTAGAGCCCTCTGTTACACTTCACCTCTCCTCTGAAGTCGCACTATGATCCTCTGTTGGCACTCGTTATTTTCTATTATCAATATTGAGTTTCTAAATGTAGAAAATATTTGCAAATGGAATTTATCTAAGTAGTATAGATGAAATATAAGGCCTATACACCAACTATAACATGCACACAGACATTTGGTAAAAGCCCACTGGATATAAAGGGAGTTGATGTGTTCTCCCAAAGTGGTTTAAGTCCTGATTTAGTCAACCTTTGCTACATATAAGGATACCCTGATTAATATGCACAAGGACTCTTAAGCCAAAAGGCACTTACTTAGACCCCAAAGTTGGAGGAACTGATGTAGTATGAAAAGATCTAAAGATCCACGTTCAAAAACTTTTTCTGAAAACCTCAGATAATGAGCTTAATGAGTCACCTTGAAATACTTTACATATGCTAGTCACAGCCACCAAGAATCACAAGGCAGGGATAGCTAGCCTAATGTTGTACAGGAGCGGTGAAATAATTATTATCTGCAGAGTTCAGTTTATATTATGAACCCACTTTTCTGTCATTCCTCAAGAACTTCTCAAATTCTTGGCCTTTCAGATTTTGGAAAGAGCTGTTTTGATCTTACACTACCCATAAAGCAAATACTGCTTTAGCCTCCGCTTTCAGTTTATTCTGCTAATTGAGCAATTAGTGACCACCTAGGACCGATATATACAGATCAAAGTGCCCAGCCACGCACTCCCAAGAGCATTTGAAGTCCCTTCAGTATACAAAATGGTTAAAGTGAAAGTACTCATTTTCTGGGCAGGGTAAGAGTGGGTGTTACTGTAACTTCATTTCAACTTTCCAGTTTCTTGCAGTCACAGCCCTGGGGTATAAACTTGGCATTGCAGTTTCTTGGAAAACCCCCACACTGGTTGTTCAGCCACACTGGCTTTGTCACTGGCTGGCCAAGCAGCCCTGAGCAAATTTTTTAGCCTCATGATTTCTTTGGGTCTCAGTTTCTTCATCTGGCAAGAGAGAGGGTGGAAATAAATCAGCCGATACAACTCTTAGTTGCTCTTACATTCTTTAGTATGTGTCCACATGTTGCAGGCACATTCATGATATTTACACAATGTACAAATGACTTTATAGGCAAACAAAAGAGGATGCAGCCCTTTAAATAAACTTGAATACTAAGAATTAGATCATGACTCTCATTTAACTTAACAGAAGTGATTGATTCCTTCCAAAATGACTCATTATGTGATTCCTTTAGGTCAGAAGTAGTAAATATGTGACCCAAGACATTTATGTACTCAATTTTATTTGGCTAATGGGGTAAATATTTCATATGCTTGCAGTTGCTAACACAACATGGCCTTAAAAAATTTAGTGGCAGTACCTAAAAGGAGACAGGAAGAGGCTCCATTAATCTGTTTCTCTGCCTTATTTCAGTTTTATCCTTCTCCCTGCCTTTATCTTCTTTTTTTTTAAAATTAAATGGCTGGTGTACATACTTGAAATACATGTAATATATAATTTTAATAAATTTTTTTTCTGATTATGAAATTAATGTATACTTACTGTATAATATTTGGGAAAAATGGAAAAGTTGGCAGAAAGAAGAAAAAAATCACTTAAATTCCAACAAAGTAATTGCTATTAACGTTTTGGTATATTTCCTTCCAGTATTTTCTATGTATTTTTATATAGATGGAATCATACTATTTTTTTGTGTGCTGGTTCTTTATTTAACATTACAGCCATAAGGGATTTTCTATGTTATTAAAAATTCTTGGTAAACATAATTTTTTAGGATATTTAGCATTCTGTCATATAGCTATAGCATAATTTACTTAACCACATTCTTACTGTCACCTATTTAATTAATTTGAATTTTTCACTATTATAAATGATGTTACAGTGAACATTTTGGTGTATGAAGCTTTTCTGTCTCTATTTTACATTATTTCTTTAGGATAGATTCCCAGAAATTGAATTACAGGGTCAAAGGTATGAACATTTTTAAGGCTCTTGATCCATAATGCAAAATGGCTTTCCCAAAATGGTTTTATCAGTTTATACTCCCTATAGCAATACGTGAGAGTGCTGTTTTACCATATCCTTGGCTACTCCCCTCTAAAAACTAAATAAAAACTCCTTTATGATTTGGTGGGTAAAAGTTATACTCCACTGCTAGGTTAATTTTTATTTCTGTAATTACCAGTGATATTGAACAGTTTTGCATGTTGGTTAATCAGCTGTAGTTTCTCTTTTGTTAAATTTCTGCTCATATCTGCAGTATTTAAACAATTCTTTATTGTGGGCTTCCCCGGTGGTGCAGTGGTTGAGAGTCCGCCTGCCGATGCAGGGGACACGGGTTCAACTGGAAGGCACATTTCTTCGGGAGTTGGCTGTATGATTAGAAATCAGTGTGTGTATGGGCCCCATGAATATTTTATTGATAGCAGTGGTGAAATAGAGTGTGTTCGCTGTTTTAAAATATGGCTGCTCAGATGTAATTCAAAAGCTGTTCAAAACAATTTAATCACCTTTATTTGTACACAAGCACTTAGATATGGGCAAGTGCTAGTCTTTGATCAATGTCGATCAAGTCATTTGCATAGTGAACAAAACCCAGAACCAACCCGGATGGTTCTCAAGGGATGGGGACATTTGTGGTCAGGTCACAGCTCCTCTCTGACTCTGGGTGCTCATCCCTGGTGACTGTTGCTCTGAGCTTGCAATCCACTAGTTCTCTTTCCTGAAAGAGAAAGTACTTTCAGGATGTCAGGTGAATTCTTTTGGAGCAAGCTTTAAGATTCATTCTCTAAAACCTCAGAAATAGGAAGTCTTCCTGGAGGGCTAACGGGATAACCTTCACTCCCTTAAAGTCCTCAAGAGAACTGTGTGGTTAATGTGGGCCATAGGCAGCCCTTGGGGCTCTCATTGGATGCTCTGGTGCCCCACTGTATTCTCATGACTGCAAGGCTTTTGAGAGGCAGTTACAGGGAGAAGCTTCTTTATCCAAGGTGGCAGTTTTTGCCTTGCCTCTCTGACCTCTGCAGAACCAAGAGGAATAAACAAATGGTTGGGGAGTAGAGAGAGTGGGAGATACAGCCTCATTCTGGCCTGTGTGATGTTTCAGCTCACGGTGTCTGGGAATCGTGGACCTTCATCGCCCCCTGGATCACTTAGGGAATTTCGTTTATTCTATTCCCAACATAGGAAGGATAAATCTAGCCTGCATGATATTTCATTATGAGAATTTGAAATAGCTTCTTAAAAATAATATTCTTTATAAGGGAACTAGGACTAGAGAACCATGAGGCTATTTTATTGAATTTGACATATAAGCATTAAATACAAATTAGAACTGGGCCATTGGGAGATGGAACTTCTGATTCCTTTCTTCCCCTGTGTTGTTATAGCCCTGAATGAAAACCTTTTCTGAGAGTTAATTTAAGGATCTCACCTTGGTTTTTTGGGACAGTTGTGTTTAGCCTGTGAAATTTTAACTCAACTCATTTAACAATTATTTATACAAGAGTCACTAGGGTGGTTTCTTTGGGTTTGAATCTGGCCTCTACCATTTTTTAACTGTAAGATCTTGGGCAAGTATATTTGTCACGAACAACCAATGATATGTCCATGTTGAGTGCTGAGCATGGTGCAAAGTAAGTGCTGAGTGAATATTGGTTCTTGTCATTATTTTTATTAGATTGTACACTTCTAAATGGCAAGACTGGTCTTACCTTTATACTTTTAACAACTTAGAAGAGTGCCTTGTACATAGTAGGCAAGTAATTGTTGGATGTGATTAGTTTCTTCAGTTGCTTCTCTTGGGTCCTAGCAAGTCTTTTTCTCCTTGTAGCTTTGATGGTAGGTTGTGGTGATGATGATGGTGGTGGTCCCGTAGCATGTGTAAGACACATGTAATTTACTATTCGGAGGCTAAATAGAGGGTTCAATTTTGCAGGTGCCAGTCTGACACCTTTTACCAGCCCCATTGTAAATATCACTTTAAAAAGCTTTGTAAACTGCATTTTTTCTTTAGAAAGCTTGAGTGGCTGCATCTGTACAGTAGGTGAGAACATTTAAATTCAGAATTACTAAGGAGACTGTCAGATTCCGTGAGGTTGAGAATAAAATCCCAAATTGGCAGTGAAGGAGGGTGACCCTCATTGCATTTGTAGCACACCTAGAGAAAGGCACTAAATAATGTCTCGGAATGACCATTATAGGTTTAAATGTAATTCAGTGGAGCCTGTAATTTTCTCAGGGCTTTGAAGCTTAGTGAAGTTACAAGCTGGTCAGGACCTTGAAGGGAAGATGGGGAGAGCATTGATGCAGGGGGATGCAAGG